CAGGTGTGGGGGCACTCTTCAGGGACTCACCTGGTGGGGACAGGTGTAGGGGCACTCTTCAGGGACTCACCTGGTGGGGACAGGCACTTCTGTCACCCCTCCCAGCATGGCAGACTGGACAAGACGAACAAACGCAATGAATGGCTGGTCCAGGAAATCCACCTCGCCCACAAGCACATTGGAGGCTTCTGAGTCCTTGGGAATCTTCTTCATGAATTTGTTTCTCCGCTGCTCCAGGAGGAAAATACAACCCAAGAAGACTTGACATGCTCTTACTCTCACTTCAGAGAGCATAATTTCCACAGAAATTATCAAGAGACTGAAATAAATGACCAAATATTCTCTCTAGCTCTGTCGATGATGAAACTCAATGTTTGTTAACCCGAGACCAATTTTGGCTTCATAGATGGTAGGATCCCGTCACTGGCTAGACCCCAAGACACTCCACTGCTGTGTGAGCTAAGGGTCAGAGAAGAGCCCTGGGATAGCTCCCACCCTAGCCTCCTTTGCTGGAACTTAGTGGTAAGCTGCCCAGACCTCCCTCTAGGCCTTCACCTTTGGTGGTTGAGAGAAGTCAGTTCTGATGGTCTGTTTGCCCTTGGCCCGGCTTCCTCACTCACAGCGATCTCTGGACCAGTCTCTAAGAATGCTTCCAGGTTCCCCACAAGTGGACCTCCTGGAAAACTCATGGTTCTTCAACCTTAAAACCTAGACCACTTAGGGGGGGTCTCACTCCAGTCCTGCTGGCTACCAGCTGTCCAGGGCAAAGTCAAACAGATGGAAAGTCCTCTGCTCAAACTGTCCCACCCTCCGTCTTTATGGCCTCTCTTCTCCAGAGCTATCTGGTGGGTTACTTCTACATTCTTCTCAGTCCTGGGGGTGTCTGGTCCCTGCAGAGAAAGGTCCTCAAGGCTCTCCACTCTTGACACCGAAGGCCTCCTCCTTCCCTGCCTACCTCTGAGTCTAGGGCAGCGCTGTCCTACCTGGTCTGTGTTTGGGGTGTGAGAGATGTCATTCATGCTTCTACTCTGGGCGTGACCTAGGAGAGACAGGAAAGCAGGCTTATGAGGGGAAGCCAGGCTCACAGCAGTCTCTGCCCTTGGCCCTGAAGGCGGCAGCCAGGTGCCCTTCCCTCAGCTCTGCAGCTCCTTTGGCTGTCATCCCCACTCTCTTTCTCTTCAAGGGAAGCTTGCTTGAACAAGCAGCTAGACTCCAGGCTCTACACTCACTCATTCCTTAAAAAATGAGTACTCATAGCTTGAGCTCTGCTTGGGCCCTACCTTTTTTTTTTTTTAGCTGCTGTAACATGATGGGCTGGCTTGTTGGGGTTTCTGTCCTGCCCAGTACCCCATAGCTGTTTAGCCCCAAAGAAAATCACACAGAGATCTCTATAAGTTATAAACCATTAGCTCAGGTTTCTTATTAGCTCTTATGACTTATATTAACCCATTATTCTGATCTATTTTTGCCATATGGCTCTGTACATTTTTCAGCTGGCAGGTCACATCCTGCTGCTTCGGTGATCTGGGCAGGAGTGGGAGGAATCAGCTTCCTTCTTCCCAGAATTCTCCTGTTCTCATTGCATCATTTCTACTTCCTGTCTGGTTTTCCTGCCTATATTTCCTGCTTGGCCAATCAGCATTTATTTAAAACATAAATTGACAGAATACAGACAATTCTCCTGCACCAAGCGGTATTCCTTTTTTTTTTTTAAGATTTTATTTATTATGTACACAGTATTCTGCCTCAATGTTTGCCTGCAGGCCAGAAGAGGGCACCTGATCCCATTATAGATGGTTGTGAGCCACCATGTGGTTGCTGAGAATTGAATTCAGGACCTCTGGAAGAGCAGTCAGTGCTCTTAACCTCTGAGCCATTGCTCTAGCCCCAAGCCCACCTTCTTAGCCCTCACCATGGATATGTGGACCCTGGGCTCTACCTTCTCCACCCATGGAAATGTGGACCCTGGGCTCTACCTTCTCCACCCATGGAAATGTGGACCCTGGGCTCTACCTTCTCCACCCATGGATATGTGGACCCTGGGCTCTACCTTCTCCACCCATGGATATGTGGACCCTGGGCTCTACCTTCTCCACCCATGGATATGTGGACACTCCACCTCTGTCACAGCCAGAGCTCAACAGAGAACACTCACAGAGATGTCCGTAGCTGGTGCTGTGCCGAATCCTCAGGTCCTCGGTGGAACGGTGCAGAGCTGGGCCTGCCGAGGGGCTCCTGGCAGAGCTGCGATCTGGAAGGGGGAGGGGAGGGCATGTGGCCCCAGTGTCCTTGCCACTACAGACTCTCTGGTTAGCACAGTGGCTATGTAGTCCCTTCAGACTAAACAAAGCTGCTACAAGACATAGCTTCCCTTCCAAGAATAATGCTTAGAGAAATAGGGTGAATAAGATTACCTGGGAACGGGGCTGGAGAGATAGCTCAGTGATTCAGAGCCCTGGCTGACTTTCCAGGAGACCCAGGTAAATATTTGTACAGTGGAAAGGGTGATAGAATCCACAGCTGGTTAAATCAACATTGGGTGCAACAGGCTATCTGCCTTTATCTCTGATTCTGTCACTCTCTGGCTCCTATGCTTGTCTGCTGGGCTGACCAGGGCTAGGGCCCTCAGACTTCTCAAATACTGAGCCAATGTGAACAGTCTTCTAGAGTGTACAGTCTGCTTTCCCCAAATGGCACCAGGCTTTGCTGGTCATAATGACACTAGAAGCCAGGTATACAAGCCCCGGCACACTTGGGGTGACCTCAATGCTCCCACACCTTCATGTGTTCTGTTTTCTATGGAGGGTCCTGGCTTCTCTTGGGGGCAGGGCTTAGTGGAAAACCCAGCTGTTTCATAACAAGCCATCCCTATAGGCATTCCCTGGTGCTGCACGGGTCTCTGGGAAGGTTCTAACCTATCGCTCTTTCCCAGGATGCTCTCCAGACCACCACAATCCAGAGCTCCCGCGTGGGATCTAGGCATTAGGACACCTTTCAAGGACTGAAGCCGTTGCCATGTGCAGGCCTGGCTGTGAACCGTCTGTTTGTGCTCTGGTGTCAAGGACAATATAGAGTATGGCTGCTCCCGCTCCAGGTCTTCCAGAGAAAGAGGCTGGGGGAGCCCCAGAACCTCAGCATTTCTTCAGGATCATGAAGTCAGAGACTTCCAGCTACTGAGATGGGCTCTCCTGGCTACATGTCCTGTGCCCACCTGAGAATAGCCTACTCACTTGTAGTGGACACCGACTTCCCAATGTCTGCAAGGGAGCGGTGGATGGGCTTCTTGGTTTGGTGACGATGCTTCCTCAGGAGCACGTAGCTGACCCTTTCCCGGAGTTCTGGTCGCAGAAGCCCGTCCTCTATCTGCTTCTCAATGACATCATCTGGAAGAGAAATAAACAGGCCAGGCCCATGTGGGGTCTGGATTCTTCCCTGGGGATTGTATGAGCAAAGGGATCAGGGAGTTGAAGGTAGTTCTGTGGCTTTGCCCACTGACTGCTGGGACTGCCACCCCTAATCTCTTCATGTATAAAGTTGTGTATATATCTCCAGCTGTGTGCACGTGTGGCTAGAAGCCTATGCTCTTTCTATCCCTGTTGTGAAGCATGCATGAAATAGAACCTATAAGTGTGCCAGGACGCTGTGACAAAGGCTTTTCATTCTCCCCAATGAATTCTCTTTTAGAGGAGAAATAGTTACAGCCAAATCAAATGCACTAGATAGAATAAAAATCACAGGGATGTTTAGGGACAAGAGGCAAGCCACCTTCTCTTTTGACACTCAATTTAGCAGGAGTTAGTTTGCTAAAGAAGAAAGATGGCCCATTTCCTCTGAAAAAGGAACAAGTTGCCATGGCAATAGTACCCTCTGCATATTCACGGAGCCCCTTTCCTGTCTGCTGCCTTGCTGAACCACACTTCAAGGATGCTCTTCACCTAGCGGTTGGAGGTCTGTGCAGTGTGGAAATCAGGGCATCTAGGACACTGTCTGGAGATAGCTTCAGAATCAAACTCATCTCTGCAGAATCAGGCGAGGGTTGAACTGGCCAGTCACATGGACCCTCGTTTGTGGGGACCACGGCAGAGATGCCCTCGCCTCACCTATGATCTGTGGTAGGGAGCCGCTGTCCAGGTCCAGCAGCACTGTCCCCGTCTGCAGGCAGGTGCGGAGCTCGAAGAGGCTGTGCAGGGACAGCGTGGACACGTGGGGCTTGCTCCAGCGTTCTCCTCCTTCTTCCACCTTTTCTTCGAATTTTATCCACCTGGAAGAGGTAAGAACGGGGCTCAGCATGACTGGTACTCTCAGGAGGAGGCCTGCCCCAGGTCTCCCCAGTAAGCCCTGCACAGCACTTTCCTCTGAGATAAAAAAAAAAAAAATGTCACCTGCAGGAAGCTCCTTAAAAAGGAAGGCAAACAACTCACAATAGCTTCATAAAGTCCCTAAAACTGACCAGACTCAGTAGACCCCTCCCTGCTAGAGTAAGCAATAAAGGCTGAGAGTCCCTCCCTCTCAGAGGAGCAGGGTTGAGCTGTAAAGAAGACTCTCAGATGAACCAAGCTACCCGAAAGAGACAGAAACAAGCTGAGCTGCCCGGAAGAGGTTTAGACCAATTTAGTCACTTGGAAAGGACACTCTCTAACTTGTTGAGCTGCTGCAGGCTGTGCAGTGTGCTCCAGGTCCCCAGCTTTGTGAGCTGTCATCCATGCTGGGTGGGCTTTAGTGATACAGCTGTCTTTGAGTATGTCCACTCCAGGAAGTAACCCTGTAAGTATTCCTATAAGTAACCCCAATAAAACCCGCAGTTCACCAATGTCTGTCATGAACTTCCCATCTGGGGCAAGAAGATGTGTATGTGTGTCTTCTCCGGAAAAATGTTGTCACCCAAGTAGACACAGACCTGTGAGAACATACTGTTGGAGACATTGGCCCTGAATTCACAAGCAGATGATCTCTTAGGGCTGCTCTTTGCCTGTCCCCACACTGACGAGATTGTCATGCTAAGGACAAAATGATAACAGACAGGCACGAGGAATCATTCTGGGGTGACAAAAGTATTTTAACAATAGGATACGATGGTTGAACAGCTCTATACATCAAAAATAATTTACGACTTAAATAAGACAATATCAGGCTATTTTTATAGTAATAAAATTGGCTTTTTTAAAAAAGTCTCAATTAGAACCTGGTTGCTGAGGATTGGTTCCTCAATAGCGCCTCTTGCGGTTTTCTAAGAACGCGGGAAATGTCCCCAGATAAAAAGTATTTCTCTCGGAAGGGTGTGCGTGGGGGAGACAGTTATGCCAATAAAGTACTTGCTGCATAAGCATAGGACCTGAATTCAGTCCTCAGTAGCCACACAAATAGCCACAGGTGTGGAGGTGTAAGCTTGAAATCCCAGCACTGGGGAGTGAGACAAGACGATTTCTCTGTGTAGCCCTGGCTGTCCTGGAACTCGCTCTGTAGACCATGCTTACCTTGAACTCATAGAGATCCGCCTGCCTCTGCCTCCTGAGTGCTGGGATTAATGGAGTGCGCCACCACCATCCGACCCTTGTTGTTTTTAAAGATTTATTTTTAGTTTATGTGTATGCAAGTTTGCCTTATATAAGTACATTGTATGCATGAAGTGGCCCCAAAGACCAGAGGAGGGCATCGGGGCCCCTGGATCTCGGATTCCAGATGATTTGAGCCCCCATGTAAATTCTGGGACCCAAACTCAAGTCCTCAGAAGAGCAGCCCACACTTTAGCCATTTCTCCAGCCCCTCATCTTGTGTTTTAGTTTTGTTTGGGATAGATATTGACTGAGTTCAAAGCAAAGTGATGTATCAGGAGATATATTTGTCACGGAGCACCAAAAGACTATTATTTCTAACAAAACTCCTTCCACTCAATAAGAAATTTCAGAAAATGAGCCATTCCTGGGAGACATGAGGAGGAATGAAAATGTGGCATTTGCTAGTGACCTGGGCTCCTTAGCTACTACAATGTGCTACCTTCATTCCTCAGACTGCCAAAAACTAAAGTCTGGGACTGGAAAGATGGCTCGGCTGAAGGGCTCTCGCTCTTCTTGCAGAGGACCTAGGCTCAGTTCCCAGCACCCACGTGACAGGACCGGCTGTCTTTAACTCACTCTCGTTCCAGGGGATCTAACACCTCTTCTGGCCTCCATAGAAACTGCACACACATGGTGCACATGCATACATACATGCAGGCAAGCACTCATACACATAAAAATAAACTAAAGAAATCTTATACCACCACTAACAACAACTAACCTATAAAGACTGACAAGGTCCTGTGCTGATAAACAGCACATGCCACGGTGTACAACAGTGCACGGTGCACAATGCACAGTGCACAGTAGTGTAGCACTACCACTTCCTTTCGGTAGTTAGTGTGTGTACCTTTTGACCCGGTGGCTGTTTCTAGGGGTATGGCAGGTGTGCAATTTGTGTGGGAGGTCCTTCTGTCTGTGTGTTGCTTTTATTGGTTAATGAATAAAGAAACTGCCTTGGCCTGTTGATAGGGCAGAACTTAGGTAGGCGGGAAAAACTGGACTGAATGAGGGAGAAGGAAGGTGGAGAGGGAGATGCCATGGAGCCGCTGGCACCAGAGATAGACATGCTAAAACTCTGCTGGTAGGCCATGACCTCGTGGTGATATACAGATTAATAGAAATGGGTTAAATTAATATAAGAGTTAGCCAATAAGAAGCTAGAGCTAATGGGTCAATCAGTAATTTAATTAATATAGCTTCTGTGTGATTATTTCAGGGCTGAGCAGCCGGGAACTAACTAGTGGCCCCCTTCAACATCAATCACACACCTACTTTTATAAAATGAGCGCAAAGGTGCTTCCTACAGCTTTGTGTGCTAGAAGAAGAACTGGATTTCAGTGTCAACGTGATGAATACCTGCAGAGGTAGATGAAAGTGTAAGCGAAGGGCTAGAGAGGTGGCTCAGTGGATTAGAGCTCTTGCTGATCTTGCAAAGGACCTGAGTTTTGCTCCCAGAACCTATGTCAGACAGCTCATAACTCCCTGTAACTCCAGCTCCTGACCTCAGCAGGCAATGGCATATATTCCCTGCCCAACCCCATACACATAATTAAAAAGAAAAAAATACATTTAAAATCCTCAGAATAGTCTAAAAAAGATTACCATAGACCAGCAACATTGACCGCAGAGGCACAAAGGTAGGGGTAAAAGCCCATGGAAAAGCCAGGCACACTAGGCACTGCAAGCCCCAAACTCCCAAGGGAAGACAGGGGATGAAGATGGGGAAGGCACTGCTCTGCTCTGAGCTTAGAGGGAGATCCAGGAGGGCAGCAAGGCGTGTTAGACACTAGCCCATGCATGCAATAACAGCAGGAGACTGTGGAAAGCTGGTAAAGCTGATGCAACTTCATCCATTACAACTGCTGGGGATAAACACAGAGGGGGAAGGAAGGTACATGTGTCCTTCAATGCAGAAAGTTTCTCTTTATTGTCCTGACTGGCCTGAACTCACTGTGTGGCTATACTGGCTTTGAACTCACAGAGACTCACCTGCCGCTGCCTCCCAAGTACATGTGCCTAACCCAACCAACTGTGGTTTTGTTTTGTTTTTGAGGTTGCATATTTATTTAGTGGGTTATGGAGGTAAAAGGGAAAGGAAGAAGGGGAGAAGGGAGAAGAGGGAAGAGAGAAGAAGAAGAAGAAGAAGAAGAAGAAGAAGAAGAAGAAGAAGAAGAAGAAGAAGAAGAAGAAGAAGAAGAAGAAGGTGGAGGAGGAGGAGGAGGAGGAGGAAGAGGAGGAGGAGGAAGAGGAGGAGGAGGAGGAGGAAGAGGAGGAGGAGGAGGAGCAGCCACAGCAGCAGTTACCTCTACCTCTTTGGGAGAGAAGCAGAAAGGAAGAAAGAACTCATCCGTGGTTTTGAACACTAGATGAACTGATCTAAGGAATGTGGGCATGGCTGCATAATTGAATGAAATTAACGAATTCTTGTCACTTCTTTTTAGGTATTGCAATGGTTTAGTTGTAATTACCTTTATTTTATTTTAGAGACTGGATCTTGCTCTGTATGTAACCCAGGCTGATATAGAACTCATGAACCTTCTACCTCAGTCCCCCAAATGCTGAGATTTCAGGCTTTCCTTACCAGGCCAGCCATACGACAATGTTACCGCAGTTGCGTTAAAAAGAAGGCGGTGGGGCTGGAGAGATGACTCAGTGGTTAAGAGCACCATCTGCTCTTCCAGAGGTCATGAGTTCAATTCCCAGCAACCACATGGTGGCTCACAACCATCTGTAATGAGATCTGGTGCCCTCTTCTGGTGTGTGGGTATACACACAGGCAGAATGTTGTATACATAATAAATAAATCTTTAAAAAAAAAAAAAAACATGGTGACCTTGTATAAAGAGTAGGATCCCCAAAGCCTGTAAAAGTTGGAGGCAGCCTGTTCCCACTGTTAGGAGTCCCACAAGAGGACCAAGCTACACAACTGTAACATGTATGCAGAGTGCCTAGTTCAGTCCCATGTAGTCTCCCTGGTTGCCGGTTCAGTCTCTCTGAGCCCCTAAGAGCCCAGGTTAGTTAGTTCTGTGAGTTTTCTTGAGGTGTCTTTCACCCCTTTGGCTCCTATAATCCTTTCTCCTCATACTGGCTTGGTTGCCATGTCCAGCCTTACATTGGGGGGTGGGGGTTACTGAGACTTATTGCAACTTGATACGCCATGTTTTGTTGACACTCATGGGAGACCTGCCCTTTCCTAAACAGAAATGGAGGAGTGGATTGGGGGATAGGAACAGAAGGGGGTGGCAGAGAGGAACTGGGGGGAAAGGAGGAAGGAAAAACTGTGGCTGGGGTGTAAAATAATAAATAAATAAATTTATTAAAAAAAAAGTAAAAGAAGGTGACCTCAGGTTGGAGAGATGGTTCAGCAGTTAAGAGCACTTGCTGCTCTTGCACAGGTCCTGGGTTTGATTCCCAGCATTCACATGATGGCTCACAACTGTCCACAACTCCATTTCCAGGGGATCTGATGCCCTCAACTCAACAGGCACCAAGTGTGTGTGTGTGTGTGTGTGTGTGTGTGTGTGTGTGTGTATGTATATATATATATATATATATATATATATATATTTGCATATAGCAATACACATACAATAATAACAAATCAATCTAAAATATTCTTACAGAAGGTGATCTCATTTTTTAGAGACAAATACTCAAGCATCTGCAGGTGGAATGATGTGGTGGTTGGGACTTGCGTTAAAGG